AGCAAAATTCAAAATGTTGAAAAGTTTATTAAGATGACAATTTTTCACTATAAATTTCTTACGGTGAAATCTCACTCCAAGAAAGTGAAAATACAACCACTTTTTGAAAAAAAGTGAAAATATTTCACTTCATGAAAAAGAGTGATAATTTTCATTTGCTAAGTCAGGCAAGAAATTTAGAGTGTTACTAACAAAGATGGTAAGAATACTGAAAACATTAAAAGTAAGTAAAAATTAATATGGCTCGTAATATATAAAAATAAGATCAACATTGAACCAAATTCGAATCGTTACACTGCTAATTATTTACGGTGTCAAGTTATATCAAATTTGAGTTATTTTTTATTATTTCTAAAATAGATCGCTGTACTGCTTCTACTCAACATGTCGTTAATTTAACTAAAACAATAGAGTTAAACGGTTTAACTTAAGAAAATATATTAAATTTGATTCAAATTTAATTTATTATTTATTGAATGCATTAATATGAATGTTGTTTACTTTGAAACTAACCACAGAAATGAATTAATCTTCATTTTGATACACATGAAGTTAAGAAAATTAAAAGTAACAAAATGTTATTTAACTCAAGAGATTGGTTTACCTTCTACACTATTAGTGGGATTACTTCTTCAGTATAGAAGATAATCCAATCCCTTGAGTAATTTATGAATAAAATAATTTTTATTAACAAAAAAAAAAAAAAATAGTGAGAGTCATTGTTTCCGCTACTCTTATCTCCACGCTCTTATCTTATACTCCACCTTCGTTAATTAAAAATTGTTAGTTAAAAATATTAATAAATTAGTTAACATCTTGAATTTTGTTGCGAGTCATATTAATTACTTATTTTTAATCTGTTGCATTGTATGCTTAATTGGATAGTCTTCATTTCATATCAAGATCTGAGAAACTGTGCAAATTCAATTTTAAGATTACACGAAGTAACGGAATCTTACTTACGATGTCGATCTCCTAATTAACTATTCAATAATTTTTGATAAATTAAACGAATAAGGACTCTTTCTCCTTTTCTGTATTAAATCTGTTATTTTTTTCAAATATTTCTTGAATATATCGTTCGGCTGATATATTCTCGCACACGTAAGGGATTCAATTTTATTCGCTTTCCTTCTTCGATAAAGTACTACATCGAATCTTTGCAGGAACCGTCTCTCGTGTCAACAGCTATTTTATTCGCATGGCCGCGAAGATCGTGTTCGCCGTAAAAGAGCTACTCCGCGCGCGTTGTCTGAATTGTAAAGGACCACTAAGCGGCGGCGATGCGGGGGTGGAAAGACAGAGTATCCGCAAAATCCGCCCATCCCGTTCCGACGAGTTACGAGGAAGGAACTCGTATCCGGGAGTAGGGTACGGAGGATCAATCGGATTTTTCTGCGAAGAATGCCAGTCTGTTCTCTGCACACAATGACGCGAGAACGACGGTACCGGCTCGTTGAATCCCGGCTAGCCGCGTAATGGGTATCGAGAGACATCGTTAAGCGTCGATCGCCTCTCCCAAAGTGGCCCGGCGCCTTGATTCACCCTCCCTCGTCCTCCCACCCTTTCTCGCCCGCCGCTTTCTCGTCTTTCTATCTCGCGCTACGCTGGGCAAGGGTGCTGTAAGACTATGTCGGCTGCGCGTTGGCTATAGATCGCGATGGAGTCCGCGGGAGGTGGTGGATAAGGAGCGGAGGAGGAGGAGGGGAGTAGAAGTGAGGATGGAGCGAGAGAAGGAAGAGAGGGAGGAAGTGGGAAGAGGAGGTTAAGGAAGGTAGATGCGCGGAAGCGGAGAGGAATAGGGGATAAACCATGATGTCGTTGATTAATACGGTTTACCAGTAAGTGTAACGGAGTGTGCAGAACACGCGCGTCCGCCACCCTCTTCAGCGGGGCCGGCTTTCCTCTCTCTATCCACCATCTCCGTCTCCTTCGCCACCACCATCTCCGCCGTCGCCGACGGAGGCAGAAGAGCTCTGCCTCCCTTCCACCCCCGACGGAATTCGTTGCACCAACCGGGAGCCACGTGCCGATCAATGGCGTCTTGCCGCTGGTTGGTCGAGCCAGGAACAACCCCCTCGCTCGCGTCTCCGTTTCGCCCTCCCGCGCGCCGCCACCCTCTCTCGTCTCTTTCTCATCCTCCATCTTCTTCTACGCCTACCCCTCCGCGCGTGCTTTCTCTCCTTTCTTTTTACTCCGCGAGAAGACTCGGCATGTACCCTCGAGGAGGGTTGATCCCATAAGAGAGGGCGAGCTTTTCTTATGAGGAGCATTGATTGCCAACACTCCCCTTCCCCCTTCCCCCTCCTTCTTCTCCTCCACCCTCTGTCCTCCCTTCGGCCCTTGCCGTTGCCTTCACCGACTCGCGCCCCTTTACCTTCTCTCGCTCTTCTACTGCGATTCTACTTCCGCGCGAGGCTGCGTCTTTTCTCCCTCTTCTTCCTGGATTATTTCTTTTACCTCCTTGTGTTTTTACCGGTTCTACTCGATCCTCGCCTATTTTCAGTTATGGCACAATTATTTGTCTATATGGGATCGAAGAAGCGTTTCTTGATGGCGGACGCGAGGATGGAGAACTTATTGCACCGAGATCGAATCGCGGGAGCGATATCTGCGATATGCAATCTCACGGTAACATGCTGCACGGGCAAAATAAGTTATGGAATCGGAATTTTCGGGACGGGAAAATCGGACGGTGGAACGAAATGCGGGGATAACTGAATTCGAATACTTGCGAACTCGCGTATGTGAGGGACAGCTACAAGATAATTTATGCGAATGAATGATTTATACACACAGGATTCATCACATGAGAGAACAAGTTTATTATCGCTACCACAGTTCTGACTACACAGTTAATCGCTACCTTACACTATACCTTTCGTTAGACTATCTTTGATTAGCACTGACTATTTATCGGGAGGTAATATACAGGTCTCTACAAATAGCTACGTCCGTTTCGCTTCTACGCCTTTCGCTTCGCGAAAAATTCAGAGGGATTTACGACATAAATGTAATTATCGTTATCTCGTCGAAATTATCTCGTAATTATCAAACTAAATCCGTGCGGTAATTTCGCCTTCTCTTTCACGCTTGGCGCTTCTCTCTCTCTCTCTTTCTTTTTTATTTCTGCACCAAATGACGGATTTTATTTGATGAATTACGGTACTCGCAAACGTAGCAAAGATTTGAAATCCGGTTAATATTGCCGGCCGATCGACGATTTTTAAGGCATATAAGAGTAGTTAGCCAACTCGAAACGAGTTTTCTTCGCTTTAATATCTGTGGACGGGAATTAAAACCCATATAATCTCCGTGAGATCAATTTAATTCGACAAGTATCCAAAACATCCGACATTTTCCTCTCCTTCTGACAGCAGTATCGAAAACTGAACCGAGATTATATCGATTTTGATTCCCGCTCGTAGGAATTTTATGATGAATGCACACTCGAGCCTGTCCGCGTGGCTTGAACGAATCGACTGGTCGAGCGTATCGAGCAATTGAATATACAGCGCATCAGGCACGTGTTGGTCCGTCGCGTCTTCTTATACTCGCGTGGAAGGAAACGAAACCATTTGTAAACACACTTTGCTATACATCTTCGCAGGTCCCGACGCGATTGCGCGTCGTTCTCGTTCCCGTTCTCGCCGCATTTATTCCCATTATGTATGTACAATACAAATGTGTATCGCGACGTATTGACATTCCAAATTCAAAATGTCAGAAATATCCCCCTTCTCACAGAATTTCTCTTGAATACTCTTCGCTGTGATTAACGGATTCGTCAAACATTTTACGATACATATGGAACTTAATGATTTTCATTTAATTATTTACGTTGTAAATAGTGATTAATGGTGATACAAACGTGTCTGGAGGTCGCAAGTTAAGGCAATAAATAAAATATAAATTCTGCATAACATGTAGATTTAGACGCTATTGCTGATTACATATGTGAGAAAACGGTTTATGTGTCTGAGAATACTACAGAAGATTATTGTAATGCACCTCGCCTATTTACATCGCGTTCGCGGATATAACAAAGTAATCTGCAAATTGATAGTGCTCCATTATTCAACGGTTTATTGCATATGCAATGAGTATTAATGGTATCTTGTTTGTTTCCCATTTTTATCAAAATCCGAAACGATAGAGCCGGGAAACATCGAGAATAATGGTAAATAATCAATTGGTAACTTTTAAAGTGAAAAAAAAATGCAAATTAAACAGTGCTTTACACTTTACGGAACTTTATAAAACCGATCCTGCCTTACGTATAGCTAAAAATGAAGTTGATTGTGAAATTTGTCGCAAACGGAAACTTCTCTCTTCTAAAAATTAACGTGTTATATGAGCTAAAATAAATTTTCTATCAAGATTGCGCAAGTTACTTAACAGGATTGGCGCCATGTTTACTTTAACAAGTCGCAATCGAAGACAATATGAATACAATTTGCAGTGTTTGCGCGAGCCGCCTTACCAAGCCGAAGTTACCACCTTGTAACATTGCGGTTCGTTAATTCTTCGTCGTCTTCCGGAATTGAGACCCTTAAACTCGCTTGAACTATCACAACGTCGAAACTCAGAAAAGCTTTTTTCCGTTTAAAAAAAATACCAGGAGATTAAAATGTAATTATAATAAGGAAAGCATTTACAAAGATTGATGGTATAACATCGATGAGTTCAATTTTCGACGCTGATGTATAACTTTCGGAAAACTTAAAATTCTTAATTCAATGAAATCAACGACTTGAAGGATGGGACTATGAATTACAAAATGAAATCTAATAGAAAAGATCATTTCTTTCGGTAATATTTACTTCGAAGGAGCTAGAAAAATAAGTCTCCGTATATGAAAGAACACAGAACGTATAACATTCTATATATATTTATAACATTCTATATTTGTAACATTCTTCATATATAACATTCTTCAGCTTCTAAATAGCATCGAGATCCGAACTCACCGAGATTGTTATATCGCTGTCTAGCTTCGACTTTGCAACCATCCGATACGCGCAGAATATCTCTTTGAGATTTATATCTTGCGTTTATGAGACGATTCCGGCATTTGTGGAGGCGATCCTAGGGATCTTCTTTGGTAGTGGGTTGTATCTGATGCACCACGCCGGGCAGGTGGTGGTGATGATGGTGCTCCGGTCGCCTGGAGAGGCCCAACAAGGGCGGCAGCAGCGGCAGGGGAAGAGGCAGGGGTAGCCCTCCGGGGAAGCCGGCGAGACCACCGAGGAGAGCCGAGGCGGTCGAGTGTTCCTGAGCTTTTCTTCGGAGCTCGGCCAGACTGTTACTTCGATGGAGATCAGTGCCGGTACCGGCGGTGCCGGGTTTGCAACAGCCGCAGATAGAACCGGGCCAGCCGGTTGGCGACCAAGATAACATTTCCTGAAGGCTGCTCGGCCGATGCTGGTCGCCGGTGGTCCATAACGATGGCGTCGTC